GAAAAAAAGGACGACACTTCCTCTTCTGGATGTGGATAACATTTGAGGTGGTAAGAATGGCGAATGCTTCCCCTTACCAGATCTTTAATTTCACCTGGCAAATTATGAGGCCAGAAATGTTGCTAACTCCTCATTATCCGTGGGTCCCAGCCCTAAATTCGACCCTCTAGAGGCAGATCTCTGCAGATTGGCCATGGGAACACACGATTCCTGGGGATTAAGCACCCAGTTCCTCCCATTGGAGGTAGCCCCTCAAGGGTACCACCAGGCTGGTACTGCAGGATGTTTAGATCCAGGACAAAGACAGCTTTTAAATAACGTACCCATATATGTTTGTCCTGGAATCTCCCACAGAAATCGATCCCTAGTAACAAAATGCGGGCTCTCTGTTGATTTTTATTACGCCTCCTGGAGCTGTGAGACCACGGGAGACACATACTGGAATCCTTCCTCCAGCTGGGATTTTATTACAGTTAAAAGGAAAATTCCCAGCTCAAAAGAGGCTGCCCGCACCAGGTTGTGCTATACTGATTCCCCTACCAAGGGATGGTGCAACCCCCTAAATATTTCTTTCGCAGAACCAGGAAGGAGATATGATTGGGCCAACTCTAGGGGGCTGGAATGGGGACTTCGTGTATACTGGCTAGGTCAAGACATTGGTTTAATCTTTAAGATAAAACTAATAAAATCTGTTCCCCGGGCTCAGATGATAGCGATGGGCCCCAACACAGTTTTGCATGGCGCATTCCCTAAAGCTGCCACAGTTTTACGTGACTCACTCCCTAAAACTGCCCGCCCCTCGAGCCTCCCTGCTATAGTAAGTTCCTCTATCTACACCACGATTTTTCAGCCCATGTTACCCCAAGGACCTGCTTCCTCAGCGAAACTCATTCTATCCATGGTAAATGCTTCTGCTTTAGCCTTGCAGTCCCTTAATAATTCTCGCTATCAGGAATGCTGGATTTGCTTTTCCCCTCGGCTGCCCTTCTATGAGGGCATGCTGACTTTCGAAAACCTTATCTTCACTAATGAGACTTCCTCACTAAGCTGGCATTCCGTGAACCATGAGGGCTTGACCTTAAGTCAGATCTCAGAAAAAGGCCTCTGTATTAGAGGACCGGAACTCCATTTCCCAGAACCCTTACAGCCAATGTGCAACCAAACTATCTTTATTAGCCAGTCATCTACATATGTAGCTGCACCTGATGGAACTTATTTTGCTTGCTTTCTGGGACTCACCACCTACATTATTGCTGCCCAGTTTTTACATGAACGCGATTATTGTGCACTTGTCCAACTGATGCCTCGCTTATCCATACATGACCCTGAAGACCTCCTCCCAATATGGGAGGGGGGTGATGAAAGGTCTGGACAGAAAAGAAAACCTATTTCAGCCATTACCCTGGCTGTCATTTTAGGACTTGGAGCTGCAGGAGCAGGGACAGGGATAGCCTCCCTCATCACCTCTAAACAGCAATATGCACAACTGTCTATGGCAGTGGACAAAGATATAAAGGAATTACAAACAGGATTACAAAACGTAAAAGACTCATTGGTCTCTCTATCTGAGGTGGTGTTACAAAATAGGAGAGGTCTTGACCTTGTCTTTCTTAAAGAAGGCAGCCTATGTGCAGCTCTTAAAGAGGAATGCTGTTTTTATAAGGATAAGACTGGACTGGTACAAGACAGCACAGAGAAAGTAAAAACTAACCTAGAAATTAGGAAAAAACAGAGGGAGCAACAAGAATCATGGTATGAGAACTGGTTCTCTACTTCTCCCTGGCTATCAACTCTTTTGCCAAGTATTCTGGGACCCCTTATGGGTCTACTCCTCCTTATATCATTCGGCCCTTGGGCCTTTGCACAACTAACCAGATTTGTTAAGACACAGATCGATGCCATGACTAAGGAGCCTGTTACGTTCACTACAATCGCCTCCAGACACTGGATTTAGAGGTAGCTGAGGAACCAGAACTGACGGAGGAATTGACAGAGCCTGCGAGAGCCCTTGACTTTTCCTCTTTACGCACCCCAGCCTATGCGCCTTGGAATCCGTGGTGCGTTTTGACTGGAACAGCATGCCCCTGACCCCACTTCCCTTTCTTTTCCTTTTTTGACCCCAGTAACCGCTAGCCACACCAGATCAGTAAGTTTGCCGTTCGTTGCCTGCCCTGACAGCCTGGAGTTAATAGGTCTGGCCTTGATCCCTCCTCCCCACATCCAGGGCAGGATACTCAATGACAGGAGCCTGAGGGACCCTCTGATGGATAGCACCCGCCATACAGAGGCCGTAGAGGCCTGCTCAACGGGCATGGTGCCAGAGAGAGGGACACAACCCCTCAGTTGTCCTAAGACAGGGGTCCTGACACAATAACATGACGCTTCATCATAATAAAGGAAAGGGGGAGATGTTGGGAGCCATAAATTAAGGGGCCATTCAGAGCAGTGGAAAACTACAGGTCCTTGAAGGACTTGCCACCTGGCAATTGCCACCACTAGCTGTTCTATTCCTGGAAGAGATAAGCAGCTCCGAGGACAAGAAACATAGGAGGTTTTCAGGCAATGGGCATTTTTTAGATAGCCTTATGCAAAACACCAGGTGCACTAACTCCCTGCTCCCTCCTCAGTTCCTCCTCCATGCAGCCCTGAGGTCCATCCCGGGAGCCCCACGGCCAGCGGCCTTACTCCCTTCTCCCTCCTCACTCCCTCCCTCTACATTCCCTCCTTGCCACATCCCTATTTAAGTCTTATTCCCTCAATAAAGTGAGACCTTGACAACAGAATCTTGCTTGGTCTCCTTTCTTTCTCTCGCCCATGATTCAGGCAGTACCACTTTGGGGGAGTAGTGCCTAAGAGTGCTAACAGTGAAGCCAGTCATGTGTAGTCAGGCAAGATGGCAACATGGGAATTTGCCCACTGGAGTACGGTGGTGGTGTTGAAACACCCAGAGGGGCTGCCCAGGGGCCATAATAAAGTTACAAAAATCACTATAGAATTCAAAAGGGTAGAGAGTGAACCCTTTCAACAGTTCCATAAAGCCTGTAAAAAAAAAAAAAGCCAGCTTGCTCCTAGAGTACAACTGAGAATTATAGAGAGCTAAATGGGGTAGTTCTCCCTGTTGATACTGTTGTGCAAATATTGTTCAACTGAACAACTAGTACAAGCAACGGAGTCTTTCCATTCTGTATTGGACCTTGCTTAAATTTGACTCACCTATTTCATGGTGAATTTCTAGGGTGGGGCACCCCACCCAGTGTCAGGGATGGGGTAACCCAGTGTCAGGGATGGGGTACCTCCTAGTGAGTTGTTGCCCAGGGAAGTCCCTGAGGCTCCACAAACAATAAAAGTTATTGCTACTAAAATTGGTCATATGCCAGAACTTTTGATAAGACTCTGTTGCTGAAGACACAGCATGTACCATGCTTTAACTGTAGGTCATAGAGAAATTAAGCTTGGACTGAACTGAAAACTCCCACCCTGACTCTGGCTTTTGTAGTGCCAGTGGAGGCAAGGCAGACTGCTGATAGAGAACCCTCTTGCTTGGCTATGAATTCTGTATATTAAAGTACTGATATGCAAGGCAAGGTGTGCCTGCTTGTGAAAAAGTGGCTCAGCTATCATGGGTAAAACCAACAGCCTTCCATTTGGATTTAAGGCCCATTCCACAAAGAGGAGTTCATGTCTGGTACTGTAAGCCAGTACAAAACCTGTGGCTTGGCAGGTCATGTCCAAAAAAAGAAAACAACTTTTTGATTTTTCTAGATGGATGTGATGCGCTTGTCAAACTGCCCTCTGAACATCTGTTTATGCCCATAGATCATGGTTGTTGTCAGCCTCAACTCATAACCACTGGTACAGCTCCTGAGCAGGCAACTGTTACTTCCACAATAGTGGCCTATTTCTTAATCATAGGTAGACACCTGTTAGTCACCCCTTCCAAGGTCCAAGGATCACTGGGAAAGAGGGTATGGAAAGAATGTAAGAAGTGGAGGAAGGCGTGATAAAACTGAAAGATTTCATCCTACAGGAAGCTCCTTAAGGAAGAAGGTACACAACTCAAAATAGCTTTTATATTTTTTAACGGTTTTAGGAAGTCCCTAAAGCTGACCAGACTCACTGGGCTTCTCCCTGATAGAGGAAACAATAAAAGCTTAGAGTCCCTCTCAGACCAAAGGAAGAATTAGCTGCTGCAAAGAGGAGTCTCAGACAATCTGAGCTGCAAAAAGGCTCTAAGAGGAACAGAGAGAGAGAGGGAGAGGGAGAGAGAGAGAGAGAGAGAGAGAGAGAGCACAAAGATAGCTGCCTGGAAGAAGTTCAGACCAGTGACTATAGGAAACGACACTCTCCAACCTGTTGGGCTGCCTGCAGGCTGTGCAGGGTGCTCTAGGTTTCCCAGCTTTTGTGAGCTGTCACCCGTGTTGGGGTGAGCGTTGGTGATGAAGTAGTCTTTAAGTCCTTTCCTATAACTTCTCACCCATATTCCTGTAAGTAACCACAATAAAACTCATTGGTTCACCAAAATGGAGTTTGGTGTTATCCAGAACTTTGGTCTGTTGTGGGATCCCTTTCTGGGGGTGAGTAAACATGTGTGTTTCGTATCCCCAGGAAAAGTTTTGCCACACAACACCCATCTCACAAACAGGAGGAGGAAAAAGAAAAAAAAAAACATAAAGGGAGCTCCAACAGAATGACAATTAGAAAACTAGATAAATCTCATTTGTCATCTCCACAGTATCCAAAGCTGCAGAAAAGAACTTACAAAGATACATAATATTTAACAAATGATGTTTGAATTGAGTAAGATGACCGACAGACAAATGATGTGGATATAAAGAAGGAAAACTCAAATAAGGGAATATAGGGAATTGGTGAAAATAAAGGGGGAAGGAGGAGTGACAATAGAAAACGAAAATTGCCAGCAAGAGATCGGGCTGATGCCCCTCAAGTAGGAAAAGTTTTGTGGCCAAGACAAGGAATGACAACTAAAGTATGTGACTCACATGAATCTGCAGTCTCCCTAGAGGACTTGGAGGGGCCTGAATTGGCCACATGAGGCATGGTACAGTTCTTCGCCCTCGGACTTGGACTCTGGGGAGGAGTGGAGCCCAGGCCCCTGCTGCTGCGTCGGTCTTCACTTGCTCCCACGCATGGGTCACTGCTGCTGCAGCAACTGAATTCCTCGTCGTTGGCCGGGGGCCCACGATCCTCCCTTCTCTCCCAAGAGCTCCTAAAGCGGGAATCTTCTTCGCTTTCTCTCTCCCAGAAGCCACTGAGGCGGCGGCTGGCGTCTTCACGGATGCTCACCCTAGAGGCGTCACTGGCCTCATAGCTCAGGTCATCACTTACTCCTCCCCAAAAACTACTGGGGCAGTGACTGCCGTCGACACTTACTCCTTCACAAAAACCGCTGAGGTCGTCACTGCTGCCTCTGTCCCCCGAGTCGCTGGTTCGGGGCCCTCGGGCTTCAGGGACGCCCACACAGCCGTCTTCGCTGACAGCTCTCCTCGAGTCGCGGGGATTCGGGCCCGCGTCGCTGCCGCGTTGGCCGCTGTCACCTCTCACAGCCACCCATGGGCTGCTCTGCCGATGTCCATCGTGTCCCCTAACTCTCTCCTGAGAGACACTGCGGTGCGGGCCTAGGTCTTCACCGATTCTTCTCGAGTCCCTGCGGGAAAAGCCGCCGTCCTCACCTACTTTTCCCGAGGAGACCCTGGAGCAGCGGTCCCCTTCTTCGAGTTTTTTTTCTCTGGGGTTGAGCCGACAGGATCCCTGCTCCTCCACCACCCTCTCCCTGGACCCGGCGCCGAGGTAGACGTGCGGGCCGCGGATGGCACATGGGCGGCGGCTGGAGCGGAGGCCGCTGTCTTCGCTGTTCTGTACCCGGCCGTGGCGGCGGCCGCCGTCCGCCGGAACGCTCTCCTCAGAGTGGTTTTCCAGCGTCTCAGTTCCTGCAGCCTGGAGGGAGCGGTGGCGGGGCCGTCGCCTTGGAAACAAGTAAACTTCCGGTGTGTGGTCACTTCCGTATCCTTTATGCCTACGTCACTTCCTGCTTCCTTCCTTTCACCTTTTTCGAGGCTTCGCCTAAGGAAAGCCGTGGGACGCTAGGTACCGAGTGGTTTTCGGTGGTTTTTTTTTTGATTTATTCTGTTTTGTTTTGCTTGCTCAGTCTCACAAGAGCCTATCGAGACCTGCCTCTGGAACATCCTGTCGTGGATCTCGCCCCCCAGTGGAGGTCTCAGGACTGCGGTTCGCGTAGCTGACCTGTGCGCCGCGCCTGCGGGGCCTTTTCGTCCTTGGCAAGCCTGGTATACTATGTCAGTGCTGGTTTGGAAGAAAATCTGTTTTTACACAATGGCTTCGCAAACAGAGAAAAATGCCTAAAGGGGCGGTAGCAGGTGCAGTCCCTGTCATTATTAAGTGCGTGCTCCGTGTCAGGCTTTGTTCGTTTGTTAGGTGTCATCCCCAGTTTGCAGGTCGACACTTGAGATTCAGTAGTTTGCTAAAGCCAAACAGCAGGTAAGTTCTAAAAACAGCAGTTGTTAGTCCGAAGACGACTCCAGTCCTACTTTAAATGCAACGTTTCCTTCACTATAACATTTTTTAACTGAACGAAACCTTTCCAACAACGTTGCTCAACATGTATTCTTCCACTTAAGTTCTACGAATGTATGCAAATTTTGGCTAGCCGCTGAGAATATAGAAACTTTAAGCATCGTCCCTATAGCTTGCAATTCTCAGTGGTCCCGTTCCCCCCCACCTATCCTCAACCCTCCCCTGGAGCTGAGGACCAAACCCAGGACCTTGCACAAGCGCTCTATCACTGAGCCAAATCCCCAACCGCTCAGTTTGATTTTTCCGTATGCTTATCACACATGCATTCTCCTGTCAAGAGTAATGAGTTGGGGGTCCTCTAAACGAACTTTTTCATTTCTCTGCCTCTGAATGTGTCATTTGCCCTCTAGAAACTATTCTATCCTCTCCATGGTTATGTTCTCTGAACACATTTGAAAAATATCTGACCATATACCTTCTCTCTTGAGGTAAATTGATTTTCTCTACCATAGCGTTTTAAATAGTGGTAACTGACATTTCTTGGGTTTATATGACCAGTCTAACATTGTATTCAGTGCTTTGTACTAGTTTTATTGTTGCTAAACCTTGACTATTTTTCATTTTTATTTTTAAAAGCATCAAATTGCTTGAGGATACACAGTAAGTAGTTAATACCTACGTTAGTATTCCTACCACATCCTTGATTTTTTTGTTTGTTTTTGCACATTACCCTCAACACCTGATTTCCCCAAGCCTTTATTAGATTATATCACACATTGTAATCACCTAATTAACATTTGGTTTTAACCCCTTCCTAATGAGGTGAACCTTCTGGAAGGTAAGCATTCAATCTTCAACATCTGGGTGTTCCTGGCATCTAGAATATTTACTTCAAGAGAAGAGCTACTCAGCAGCTACTGTGTTGTTGAGTGTGGGTTGGTCTAATTGTTCGGTGAGTGAACTGATAGGCTGCAAACAAAGTTTTTTCACTGTTGGAAGAGGATATAGGATTAGTCATTCCAGTCTAATTTTTCTTTTTCTTTTTAGAACTGGGGCAATTGAGACCTCTTGTGAGACAGGTATTTACTGAATTACTGAATTACATATGTGAAACTAGTGTCTATGACAATTGAACTGCAAATCATTTTAAACCTAATCTGTATTGTGTTTATTTCTTACAGATGAAGAAACAGGTCACATTTGATCAGGATGACATTAGTAGGACTTGGGGATTTGGAACCTACTATGACTAACTCTAAACTAACACAGTGCTTATAGCTACTACAAATAGTAAAGGCTCAATTTCTGGGCTATGCTATATAGAATAGATGAGCCTACACAATGGACACAGCAAATCTGAGAAAGAAAAGAAGAGAAAACAGTGTTGGAAACAAGGGGAGCATGTTACAGATAATAGAGGTTTTTTAAAAAATCAAAAATGATTTTACACAACCTATACTAAAATTTGGCAAATTGACTTCAATAATTTAGGAAAATACAGATATCCAAAAGTTGGCTCAAGAACTCTATCATCATAAAAGAATAACCTAATCTATCCTTGGCAAATATCACGAGGTGAAAAGTAGGACAGAATACTTACCAAATATGAAGCTAACATATTCATAATTCAAAAATTTAAATATAAATTACCTATGAACCAGTGACTAGATAAAGTCTTCTAAATACCTTGCTCAGATAACTATAGTAACTGTAACACTTTACAGTTAGAGTAAGAAATTCCATAAGAGAATGGCTAAGTAAGTTTTACAAAATTTATAAGATGGTGTACAGAGACAAAAAGATGATTCAGCCTGTAAAAAGTGCTTAATGACCTGTGTTGGATCCCTGAAAACACACATAATGGTGGGAGAGAAGTGACTGAAGCAAGTTGTCCTCTGACCTCTGCACACATGCTGTAGCACATATGCACTCATTCTCCAATGATGTAAACACTCAAAATAATTTTTAAAGGGATGGAAAATCTAAAAAAAAAATAGTGGTAGACATGCACTCTACAGGCATTAATTCATGTTATAATGCAGTGGAGAACAAAAGAGAGAAAATGCATGTAATCTCACTTTTTAAAAAACTTTAAAAAAAAAAACTCCTTAGAAAATTTTAAGTTTGGAAAGAACCCATACCAAATTGAGTGATTCCATTATAGACCACAAAAAGGAGTCATGGAAATACATAATATAAAAAATAAGCAAATAAAAAGATGCACTATCATATAAAGCAGATGATAGTTTTAAAAGTAATGGTCCATAATTAAGATAAGGAAAAACACATTGGTTTTGGCAGTTGTTGATACAGCAGTTTTAATAAAACTATCAAGATACAAAATCAGATGGCATAGGATTTCAAGGTAAGTTGACAGTAAGTTCAGTTTTTCAATTGAAGCAAGGCAAGTTCATACTGGAGTGGACATATCAACATTCCAGACAATAGGAATTGTTTTCAGACAGGAAGCTATAATTCTAGTTAGTAATGATTAGTTATCCACACCTGGTTTGTTTTTAATTGTTCTTTTTAAAATTTTTTATTTGTATGGGATTTTTGTCTGCGTATCATATTGTGCCTGGTCCCTTCATAGGCCAGAAGAGAGAATTTAAACCCTGGGGTCTGGAGCTGCCATGTTGATGCTGGGATCCAAACTGGAGTCAAGAAGAGCAGCCAGTTTTCTTAACTACTGAGCCATCTCTAGCTCTCAAGTGTTTTTCTAAAGTGAGATAAGACAAGTGGATCTCCTATAAATCAGCTCTAGGCATTATTCTAGAGAGTGGGGCCAGCTTAGAGCAACTTGATTTTGTCCTAGTGTGCTCATAAACATTTTAAAAATAAGACAGTTTCACTGTTTTGCCCAAACTCCCTGGGCTCAAGTGATTTTCTTGTCTGATTCTCCCAAATAGCTAGGACCATGCCATTGCAGCCTGTTTTGTCTCTTCAAGACACACCTCTCCCTTTGATGCCCTCTACCATGTCCTTGCCTTGGACATCCTATGCACAATTTTTGGCTCTTGATTTACTCTTTGTTTGCTGAATAACATTCAACCTCAAGGAACTGACCCTGTTTTGAATTAGAGAACTACTATCATACTAGTTGAGGCCACCTTTTTGCCTTAATTTTAATTCATTCTGTGGGTGAAGAAGAGCTCATGTGGAAGTCAGAGAACGACTTGTGGGAGCCCTTCCATTACATGGTTCTTTGGTGTCAGCACCCTTACCAGCTGATCATCTTGCTGGCCCACAAGTTGAAGCTGTTCTTGACAACAGCCTCCTAATTTTTTATTCCTCTCCCTGCCCATTTTCTCACTTTGTGGCTCAAACAGAGCTTTACACGTAAAGAAATGTTCTACCAGTGTACAGCCTCAGCCCCTATCTGACATAGGGCTCATATAGTCTAGACTGGCTTTTTAACTTTGGACTGGGATTATTCCGCACCTGGTCTATTTATCTCCTCTGCAGGCATCCTTAGACTCCTGAGAATTTCCTGAATAATTTTTATTAACTTTTTTTTGTTTTTGTTTTGTTTTTTGAGACAGGGTTTCTCTGTGTAGCTTTGGAGCCTATCCTGGCACTCGCTCTGGAGACCAGGCTGGCCTCAAACTCAAAGAGATCCACCTGCCTCTGCCTCCCAAGTGCAGGGATTAAAGGCGTGCGCCAGCAACGCCCAGCCTTTAACCTTTTTTTAATGTACTTTTTTGATATAGCTACAATGCCAGCTACTCAATGAGAAATTAAATAGAAAAAAATCCTCCTTAGGCACTCATGCATAAAATCTTTACAGTAAAGTTGAAATTTTTGAAACCACATAGTTTATCTTCTAAAGTGAGATTTTAGGTTGATTTTACAATGTAATGTTCCTATGTAAAACTTTGATGTTTTGGAAATTACAAACCAATCACACTAAATCCTTCCCAATAGGCTAGGGAAGGCTGGAGAGATGGCTCAGCAGTTAACAAGCACTAGCTGCTCTCCCAGAGGACCTGGGTTCAACTCCCAGCACCCACATGACAGCTCACAGTTGTCTGCAACACCTAGGGGATCTGGCTCCCCCATACAGGCATGCAGGCGAACACCAATGTATGTAAAATAAATTATCAAAAAGAGCACAGACTGCTCTTGCAGAAAACCCAGTCTGGGTCCTAGTGTCCACACAGCAGCTTACATGTGGGTGCAACTCCAGTTCCAAGGGATCTAATGCCCTCTTCTAGCCTCCTTGGGCACCATGTATACAGATGATGCACCGGCATAAAACAGATTTAAAAAAAAAAATGTAACATTCAAACTGAATTCTCCAATGGTAACCCTATCTGTGTGCATTCCATTCTTAGTTACTCTACACCCACTTCTTTGGACTATTCCTTAATAATTCGCCAATAGTTTGGTAGTTCTATCTGTCTTGGTTGTAAAGTAAGACAAAACC